GACCCTCCTTTGGCACCACCGTCTTGGTCACCCCTCGGTGCAGCGCCTTCGTAGCATGCATCGTCGTGTCCTTGTCTCTGGTCTTCTCAGGGTTCTCCCTCCCCTCCCACCCTCGCCTGCTCCTCCCTGTCTTCCCTGTGTCGAGGGGCGGCAGCGCGCCGCTCCTCACTCCTCCTCGTCTCCCCCAACAACTGCTCCCCTGCAGACTCTGCACATGGACGTGTGGGGCCCAGCCCGCGTCAGTGGGCAGGACCGCGAGCAGTACTTCCGGCTGGTTGTTGACGACTACTCGCGTTACACCACGGTCTTCCCCTTGCGCACCAAGGGTGAGGTCCCTGATGTTTTGATCCCTTGGATCCGCGCTGCCCGTCTCCAGCTCCGCGAGCGGTTCGGGACGGAGTTTCCCGTCCTGCGTCTGCACTCTGAAAGAGGTGGGGATTTTTCCTCCGACCTTCTGCAGAGCTTTTGTCGTGGGGAGGGCATTCGCCAGACGTTCACGCTTCCGGCCTCTCCGCAGCAGAATGGGGTTGCTGAGCGCCGCATTGGCTTGGTCATGGAGGTCGCTCGTACCTCCATGGTCCATGCGGCTGCCCCCCATTTTCTGTGGCCGTTTACGGTCCGCTACGCCCGCATCAGCTCAACCTCTGGACCCGTGTCTCCTTGCCGGAGACCTCGCCCACACTGCGGTGGACGGGTGAGGTTGGCGATGTGTCTGTGTTCCGGGTCTGGGGTTCTCGTGCCTTTGTCCGCGATACCACCGCGAACAAGCTCTCCGCCCGCGCTGTTCCCTGTGTCTTCCTTGGCTTTGTCCCTGACGCGCCTGATTGGCAGTTTTACCACCCCACCTCGCACCGTGTCTTCCCCTCTCAGGACGTCACATTCGACCATTCGGTTCCCTTTTACCGTCTCTTCCCCTACCGCACTGCCCCTCTCCCCCCCCCGCCGCTCTTCCTCGCTCCAGGTGCTCCCCAGGTAGACCCCCTCCCCGCTCCCGGTCCTGCTCCTTCAGGTGTGTTTCAGGTAGACCCTCCTCCCTTGACTGCGCCGGTTGAGGTCACTAGTGACTCAGTTCCTGCTGAGTGTGGTCCTGCTCGGGGTGCTGCTTCTGGGGGTGCTGAGCCTGGGGGTGCGGAGCCTGGGGGTGCTGAGCCTGGGGGTGCGGAGGCTGGAGGTGCTGAGCCTGGGTGTGAGGAGTCTGGGGGTGCTGAGCCTGGGGGTACTGAGTCTGGGGGTGCTGCACCTGGGGGCGCTGAGGCGTCTGGTGAGCAGTCTCCCTGGAGCGGCCGTCTCCGTAGTCGCTCCGCTGGTGCCTCGCCGCTGCACTGTCGTCGTCGTCTCCCTCTCTCCCCACAGTAGCTGCGTGAGTGGTACGTTAGCCGTCAAGGTCGAGCTGCTGGAACTAGGGGCCCTGCTGCGGGAGGCGCTGGAGCCGGCGCTGTCCCTCTCTCCCCACACCAGCTGCGTGAGTGGTACATTAGCCGTCAGGGTCGCGCTGCTGGAGCTAGGGGCCCTGCTGCGGGAGGCGCTGGAGCTGGTGACTCTGCTACTGGAGTTGTTTCTACTGGAGTTCCTGGAGCAGCTGGTCGCGGAGGTGCTCGTACTGGAGGTACAAGAGCTGCAGGGACTGGAGGTCCTGCTACCCCTAGAGGTGCTGCTGTCGACTCTGAGGTTGGAGGCCTTGGAGCTGGAGGTGGGCTACTGCTGGTGGTGCTGGAGCTGGAGGTTCCGGAGCTGCTGCTGGTGCTCGCGCTAGAGGTTCTGGAGCTGTTGGAGGTGCTAGCGCTAGTGGCGCTTAAGTAGGAGGTTCTGGAGCTGCTGCGGGTGCTGGCGCTGGAGGTTCTAGAGCTGTTGGAGGTGCTGGCGCTGGTGGCGCCGGAGCTGGAGGTTCTAGAGCTCCTACGGGTGCTGGCGCTGGAGGTTCTGGAGCTGCAGGAGGTGCTGGAGCTACTGGTGCTGGTGGCACTGCACCGCCGCGACTGTTCTTCGCTCAGCCGTCACCTTCGTCTCTGCCACCGCCTGGCTCCGTGCTTCGCGAGGTTCTTAGCCTCCCGTCTTCTACTCGTCTTCCGTTACAGCCTGGCTCACCGCTGCGTGCTCCTTCTCCTTACACTGAGCTGACAGGCGGTCTTGCTGAGCGTCGTGAGCCTGCGTCCTGTCCTGTCTTGCCTGTTCGCACTGTCCGCACTGGTCGTACTGGTCGTCGTGTTCCTCGTGAGCGTCTGCCGGCTGTCCCCGGCACACACCTCATGGCCCTGCGTCCTTCCTCTGCTCCGCAGCGTGTTCCCCTGTCGTCCCCTCCTGCGTCTTCTCTGCCTGACGTTCCTGAGCCTGAGTCTGACCGCGCTCGTGCTGCTCACCCTACTGTCACGCGTCTGCTAGCCACTGTTGTCACTGACCCGTCGTTTGAGTCTGCTGCTGCGTCTGCCTTAGTCGCTGAGCTTGTTGACTTTGCTGCTGCCTCTCGTCTAGACTACGCCGCTATTCTTGTTGCTGAGTCTGAGTCTGTGTGTCCTCCGTCCGCCGGAGGTGAGTGTGCTCTTGGCACGGACGTCCTTGAGGACAGGCAGGAGGACCTTGAGTGTCTTGCAGCCGCTGCGCCTCATCTCGTGTCCATGCTGCTTGCCCCTGAGGGAGACCCGGATGCACCAGACATCCCAACTCCGCGTTCTTATGCTGAGGCGATCGCAGGTCCCTGCTCCTCTCAGTGGCAGACAGCCATGGACGCAGAGATGGCATCCTGGAAGTCCACAGGCACTTACGTCGACGAGGTTCCCCCTCCTGGGGCGAACATCGTCGATGGCATGTGGATTTTTAGGGTGAAGCGGCCGCCAGGTTCTCTGCATGTCTTCAAGGCTCGTTACGTTGCTCGAGGCTTCAGTCAGCGGGAGGGAGTCGACTTCTTCCAGACCTTCTCCCCCACCCCGAAGATGACCACTCTTCAGGTGCTGCTGCACGTTGCCGCTCAGCGTGAAAACGAGCTTCATTCTCGTGACTTCAGCATAGCCTTCTTACATGGCAGCCTGCACAAGGAGATATGGCTGCGCCGCCCACCTGGCTTCACTAGGTCGTTCCCTCCTGGTACCCAGTGGAGCCTCTGGCGGCCAGTCTACGGTCTCCGCCAGGCGCCGCGTGAGTGGCACGACACACTGAGGACGACACTTGCGGCTCTTGGGCTTGCTCCATTGACTGCTGACCCGTCGCTGTTTCTGCGCACCGACACTTCGCTGCCGCCGTTCTACATCCTCGTGTACGTCGTCGACTTGGTCTTTGCCACTGCTGACACTGAGGCTCTCGCCCTGGTGAAGTCGGAGCTGCAGAAGAGACACACGTGCACAGACCTGGGTGAGCTACGCAGTTACCTTTGCTTGCAGATCACCCGGGTCAGAGCACGCCGCACGATCACACTGACTCAGTCACACATGGTGCAACACGTCCTTCAGCGCTTCGGCTTCACCTGGTCCTCGGCACAGGCCACTCCTCTGGCTACAGGTCACTCGCTCTCAGCTCCACCTTCGGACGAGTCCGTAGAGCCGAGTGGTCCTTACCCAGAGCTAGTGGGCTGCCTCATGTACCTAATGACCTGCACTCGTCCTGACCTTGCGTACCCTCTTGGCCTTTTGGCTCGCTACGTGGCTCCTGGTCGGCACCGAAAGGTGCACATGGATGCTGCTAAGAGGGTACTACGCTAGTACATCGGGCATGGGGCTCGTGCTCGGAGGACGGGGCGACGTTGTCCTCACTGGTCACTCAGACGCTTCTTGGGTTGACGACTTGGCTACGCAGCGGTCGTCACAGGGTTACACCTTCATCCTTGGCTCTGGCTCTGTTTCTTGGCGGTCTACACTCTCTTCCTCTGTTCTCAGCTCCAGTTGCAAGGCTGAGATCTACGCCACAGCCATGGCTGCACAGGAGTTACGCAGGCTTACCTACCTGCTGACCGACTTGGGAGAGCGGTCTCGTTCTCCTCCAGTGCTGTACGTAGACAACAAGGCCGCCATTGCTTTGTGTCAGGAGCACAGACTGGAGCACAGAACGAAGCACATCGCTCTGCGTTGCTTCCTTGCTTGAGAGTTGCAACAGCGTGGTCAGCTTCGTCTTGCTCACGTGGCCACTCAGGCCAACACCGCTAACATATTCACCAAGGCACTTCCGCCTGGTGATCATCAGCGCTTTTGTACTTCGTTGGGCCTTGTGCCTACGTTTCCTCACTTGTTATAGGCTCTGCCCGTACTGTGATATATATATATATATATATATATATATATATACGTGCATGATTGCTCCTGGTAGGTAGAGATCACTGTGTTGTTGTTGTTGCATATATATCTCTGCATGTGAACCGGCATTGTGGCCCTTTGCTTGTGCTCAGTGTGTGTGGTGACGGTGTGATCCACCCTGAGCTTGCCTTGTTTCTCTTGACTGGTCTTGTGACCCTTTGCTCTCCCCCATTTTGCCTATGGAGGTGTGTCAAATTATATGCATGTTATATATGTGTAGGCTGTAGTGGGGTAGCCAATATGGGGTACAACCCCATTAGGGTTTCATATTTGTACCAAACCCTGATCTAGTCATTTCATCCCTGCTACTAGATTTTGACAATCTACTCCTTCCTCTTTCGTTTAGAAAAATGCTATGCACTGCCATTCTAAGCAGGACAAAACAACCAGCTCTTACAACCGCAGGTGCTGCCATTTTCATGTCATCATCACCATCTCAACTGCTGCCACTGCTGTGTTTTGACAGCGATCACATCAACCCACCCATTCAACCAAGCAGCCAAGGCAACAACCAACCACCTCCCTTTCCTAACCACACCACTCCATGGCGCCACCCTTCCTGAATCGGAAGCACTGGCTCCGCTTCTTGCTTGCTTCAGCGCCCCCCACACCAAGCCATGCATGCCATGCCACTCCGCCGCACCACTATTCCTGGTTCGGAACCTCTACCCGAGCTCACCGCATGCACACCACCCCGCCGCACCGTTCCCTTCCCGGACCACACTACTCCACCGCACCACTCTTCTTGGTTCGGAAGCTCTGCCGAAGCTCGCTGAACTTCTTGAAGCACTGCGCCTTGCTCTTGCCCGGCACGGCTGCTGCTATGCGGTCCCACCTGCCATGAGGGACGTGGATGAGAGGCACACGGGTGTTTTTGAGACGTCTCAAAAACACCCTCACTTCACGAGGGGCGTGGATGAGAGGCACACGGGGCACGAACGGCATTGATCATGCACTGTGCCTTGCTCTTGCCGGGCACTGCTGCTGCTATGCCGTCCCACCTGGCATGAAAGAGAGTGGGGCACGAGGGGCATGAGGGGAAGACAAGGTAAAGCGACGACGCAAATATTAAACACTGTGTCTTGCTCTTGCCGAGCACCTGTGCTGCTATGCGGTCCCACCTGGTATGAGGGGCGTGGATGAGAGGCCCACAGGGCACGAAAGGCATTGATCATGCACTGTGCCTTGCTCTTGCCGGGCACTGCTGCTGCTATGCCGTCCCACCTGGCATGCAGGGGGACAGGAGCATGAGGGGCACGAGGGGCAAATAAGGTATAGCAACAACACGTCTATAAAGCACTGCGCCTTGCTCTTGCCCGGCACCGCTGATGCTATGCGCCACCTGGCACACAGGCATGAGGAGCAAGTGAAATGCGAAGGAAGGTGGAGGTGTGCAAGCTCTCCCCGTTTGTCAGTATCATTGGGGAAGGCTTTAAGTGCCTTGTGAAATAAGGTTGGATTTAAGATGCCTCAAAGCCAGCTCTCACCTCTTATCAGTGTCCTTGAGGAAGGCTTTAAGTGCCTTCACCAGCTCCACTTTTGAGGCATCTCCAAAAAAGGCAAGCGAGCTCTCACTCACCGTTTATCAGTATCCTTGGGGAAGGCTTTAAGTGCCTTCACCAGCGCCACCTCCTGTGCCTCGCCCCACACATCCACTGCCCCTTCTGCCGCAGCAGATGCACCTGTGCCAGCAGCACCTGCGCCAGCAGCACCTGCCCCAGCAGCCACACCATTCGCAGCACCTGCAGACTCCCCCACCTGCGCGCCCTTTGCCCCTGTACTAGCCCCTTTGCCTGCCGTCCCCACTCCATTCGCCACTGGCGCTGCTGCTGCAGTTGCTGCTGCTGCTTTTGCCCCTGCTTGTTTCCCTGCTTCTGCTGCTGGTGTTGTTGCTGCTGCTGCTCCTCCTGCTCCTGCTGCTTTAGCTGGGGAATTCGACGAGGCAGGAACTGCAGGGGTGGCAGCAGCAGCAGCAGCAGCAGCAGCAGCAGCAGCAGCAGCACCACCAGTGGCAGCAGCAGGAGCCGCAGCGGCAGCATCAAGCTCCTCACGTGTGGAGAGAGGCGAGGCTATGTCCTTGGGGTTCTTGCGACGCTGCTTGCGGGAGGAGGGGTGGGAGTGGGTGGGAGTGTAAAGTGGGAACAGGAACAAAGTAGAAATTGGACTTCAGAAGTCTCATTCATACACAGGCGTAGGCGTTTCTGCAACAAGACCCGATCCACCCACCCACCTGCAGGAAGCTGTCAAACGCCTTGGTATCATCCGGTTTCTGCAGCAGCACCGTCTTGGTGGCCCGCACCACCTCCTCTGCCGACCGCCCCGTGCCCAGATACGCCCCTATCACCTCCCACCGCTGCCCCGTGCCCTTGGGAAACTTCCCCACCGCCTTCCTCAGCAGCTCAATCTCCTCCCGCGTCCACGGCTTTCCACTCCCCCCTGCCGCCCTTCTCGCCTCTCTCTCTTTCTCCGCCTCCGCCTCTCGCTCCGCTGCTGCTGCCGCTGCCGCCGCTGCCGCAGCTTCGGAGAGAACCATGGGGATTTGCTGGTACTCAAAGTCCGGACTGTGCCCGTCCCACCGGTTCACTTTCAGAGCGGTGGAGAACAGTCGGAGGGTTTGCCGCTTCACTGCTGCAGCGTCAGCAGAGGCGGTAGAAGCGGAGAAGGATTCTAGCTTTTCGCAGAGCGCTCGCAGCTTCTCCAACTCCAGACCCTGCCCTAGACTCTCCAACTCCTCTTCTGTTATCGGCGTCTCCCACTCCTCTCCCTTCTGCTTCTCCTGCTGCTGCTGTTTTCTTTGCTTGCTGGTTACCGCAGGCGCGGCTTCAAGGCAGTCCGTTGTCGACGCTCTCAGCCTCGCCCGCTCTTTCCTCGCTGCCTTCTTGTCCTTCTCCCTCTGCTTCTTAACCACTGCTGCCTCCTCCGCCGCCCGCTTCTCCTCCTCCTCCTTTCTCTTCCTCTCCTCCTCCACCTTCCTCTTCCCCTCATCCTCCTTCGCCTGCCTCTCCCGCTGCTTCTCCTCCTTCTTCTGCTGCTTTGCCATTTTCTCCTCCTCCTTCCTCCTCAGAATCCGCGGGTCCTGCTTATAAGCATTCTCCGCCAACTGCCTTATCCTCGCACTCTCCTCCTTCTTCGCTTTCTCCCTAAGCTTCGCATTCTGCCGCTCCATCCACCTCCGATGCTCCCGATTCTCCGCACTCTCCACGTCATAATCATCCTCGTTAGGGAACTCCCTCCAGCTCTTAAACGCCCACCAGAAATCATAAAACTTATCCACCTCGGCAATTGGCGTGTTCTCATCCCCTAAACCCGGAACCTCGGTTGGGCTAATCACCGACCACTTGGCATTCCGCTGGAAAGCAGGCCCGAAAATCTTAAAGAAATTCTCGGGGGAGCAATCACCGGGAATATCATCGTCAAATTCATCTGTAGAGTCGTACACTCGGCGCTTGGCCGGGTCTGAGAGGACCTCGTAGGCCAGCTGGATTGCCTTGAACTTGGTCTCGATCTCTTCCTTTTTGGCTGCCCGCGCCTCGTCTGTTTGCTCCTCCAGCAGCATTGCAGCCTGTTTGTCCGGGTGGAAGCGCAGAGCTGCATCCCTGGTGTGGCGGGGAAGGGGTGGGGCGATATGCGGTGCGACGGAATGACGGGAGATCGGTTAGAAGCTCAACCGTGCAGTATGGAAGGTAGAGGGGTTAAGCGAGGTTTGGGGTTAAGGGGTTGCGAGGTTTAAGGTTACGGGGTTGTGGCGTTCCATGGTCAAAGGCGTTATGAGGAACAAAAGGATCAGGGAGCGTAAAGGAGTGAGGAGAATGATGTAGAACGAGGCGGAACCGGAGGGGGGAAATGGGGGCGAACGAGAACAAAGTCTTCAGGGGGGAAGGGGGCGAGGTTAGTTCGAATAAGGAGTCGACGGAGATGAGGTCAGGGAAAAGACGGCGGAGAAAATGCTCTGGGGTTTTGGAGGAATAAGAGAGGAAGAACGTCTGGTATTTTCCGTTTCTAACAGCTTACTGGATCATCTAACGAGGAAGCGCGGCAGTGTTCGAGACAGATAGAGGTCCCTTAGCGGACAGAGCATGACAGCACGTTAACGGCTGGATTCAGAATCGGTTAATAAGTAACGGCTGGATGAATTTGTGATCGCATCCTCAACCTCATGTGTTTGATCCATGACTCTCACCTCTATGCTCCATCGAACGGGAAACGGCACCCTTACTCCAGGATCTCTCCTTCCCCCTCGCTGTCCCACCAACGCCCAACGAGCCACCCCTTCAAATATCATACATCTCACCTCTCGTAATCTTGAATTTTGCGCTTTGTATAGAACCTCCCGCACGGCAGTTGCTTTAGAGAGATCTTAAAGCCAACCCTGTAGTCTCCTGGGCTGATCCTTTCTCGCCAGAGACCTCAAAACCCCGAACCCTAGCGACGCGGACTGAGTTTTCCCCGTATTACTGCACGCGGCCTCGACCGTACAATACTTGTCACGCATCTGTTGCTCTCACCCAGCTCGCCTCAGCGCTCCCATATAAAGGTTTCTATGACCTCTTTTGAGGCGCCTCAAAAGCCAGCTCGCCTCAATGCTCTCGAATTAAGGTTTATATGACCTCACTCACCGATAGGCCTTCTTGAGCCGATGCGCCGTCGCGAGATGCCGCAGGTGCGCCAGTCCCAGCAGCGCGTACCAAGCCGTTTCATATCTCACTGAACCACTCTCAACGTTTCTCGTTTCCGTAATCGCACTCACCGGTACGCCTTCTTGAGCTGATCCTTCGTCGCGAGATGTCGCAGGCGAGTCAACCCAGCAACGCGAACCAAGCCGTTGTATCTCACTGAACCATTCTGTTCGTTTCGGTGCGGGCACTCACCGGTACGCTGATCTTCGTAAGTTGATCTTCTGTCGCCAGATGCCGCAGGTGCGCCAACCAGCAGTGCGTACTGAGACCTTCCGTATCTCTCCACTTTTTCCCTCCAACTTACAGAATCGATCACGACATGCGTCCGTAATCGCACTCACCGGTACGCCTTCTTAAGCTGGTCGTCTGTCGCCAAGAAACGCAGGTGCGCCATGCCCAGCAGAGAGTAGTGAACCGTTCCGTATCTCTCCAGGTTCTCTCTCCACTCACCGGTACGCCTTCTTAAGCTGGTCTTCTGTAGCCAAGAAACGCAGGTGCGCCATGCCCAGCAGAGCGTAGTGGTCCTGCTCCTGCTTCTCCGCGTCCTTCCCATCCTTCCCCTTCTTCTTCTTCCGCGAACTTTCCCACGCCGACGAATCGACTGAGTCCTTCACCTTCTCGCCCTTCCCCTCGTCCGCCTCCTCCGCATCTTCCTCCCCCGCCGCGTGGAATCCCGCCAATCGCTTCGCAGCTTCGTGGAAGGAGAGCCCTGCCGGCTCGTATCGAGTGTACTTATAAAGAGGCGCTGGGCTGCTCACTACGAGCGGATCGCCGCCGGGCGGCAGGTCGTGTGGGTGGTAGGTGATTAAAAGGCGCGTCGTTGTAACGGAGACCGCGGCGACTGTGGCGCCGCTGGCGCTTGTAGGCGGGGGCATGGTGACGAATCAGATCCGATCAGGATCGAATCGAACCTCGAGGGTCAATCTGCGAAAATCAATTCCTAGGGCCGAATCTGCAAAAAGAAAGAAAGACGATATTGATCTCGATCCGCAAAAGAGCGAATACTCGTGCGCCGCGCCCGCTGACGCGTGCCGGTTCGTGCGGCAAGGCGGTGGCGGATCAAAGGCCACGATTCAAAAATCGGGCTGATCAGCAGCAAGTAGAAAGGAGAAACAGAGAGATGGGAGGTACCAAGTGCGAGTGATAAGAGTTGATCAAGTAAAGTTGGGGCCACGATTTGAGCCACACATCAGTGGGGGCAAGTTTGAAGCTGCTGTGCGCTAATCCCCAGCTGAGGTTTTGGTGGGAGGTTGAGGAAGAGGGTTGAGGGGTTGCGTTTGTGGGTGCGAGGGGCTGAGAGTTTCCTAGCCCTTGGTTTTGCCGAGCCGACGCCTGGTGATTGGCTGTTCGGTTTGTCGCTTGTATGAGCTGGAGCAATTTCTGGGCAAAGAATTGGATTTCGGTGACTCGTAGCTTCAGAAATCAAACAGGTGTACTTGTGCAAGTCAGCCCTGGGCCCTACAATCGAGTACAGGTTGTGGCTACCATATTCGCTCGGTTCAGCCGCCAGGGTTACACTTCGCTTTCGCCAAACTATCCAAAAGTTCAAATTTCCAGGCTGCAAGGGGAAGAGCGGGAAGGAGCATCCAGATAATTCTCTGGTGCGGATGGATCTTGGAAACGAAACTAGTCCCTGATCAGCCTTGTTCATTTGGTCCTGATGCCTTGGTCGGGTCGGGACTGACCAGCCATTTAGGGGCTTGCTAGTTGTCACGGCGTAGTCCGAGCCGACGACCTAGTCCGACGCGCTAGTGCCGATGCGGTTTTAAATCTAAGGAGAAACAAAAAGATAAACCTGACGACGACATTTGAGCTTGATGTTTTGGTGTGCTGGTGGTTTCCAGCTACTAGTTCTGAGCTTCGGATTGCCTGGTTTTCCTGGCCGAGCGAGCCGATGATCAATTCGCCTAAGAATCGCACCGCTTTGTCTAACATTCGCGTCCGTTCGCAATCAGGAGCCTCAATATCAGCGTCGCTTTACGCTCGCCTTGCGATCAGTCATAAACAATTTTGGGATCTCAGCGCCAAGTAACTGTCAACAAGAGGGTTAATTCAGAAATTAAACCCAGTCTCAGTCAGACCTAACGCAGCCAGCACGTAACGGTCATCTGTAGCCATGGAGACTCGGATCTTCGGCATTCAGGACGCATGGCGGGAATTTACCGTCCCTCACGCGACGCGAACCACTCCGAGTGCGAGCTCAGCCCAAAGCCCTAGCGTAGCATTGCATCCCGACGCACTGACGTGTCTTGGCGGGGGGTCGGTGCTTCAGACTCGAGGAGAAGATTCCGTTCAACCAAGTCAGCGCTTGCTGACGTGGCAGATCCGATCCGAAATCCGCCAGTCGCATTCCCTTCTTGTTTTGAAAGAGCTGTTTCCGAATTCGTCCTTCCCCGCGTCTAAGCCCGCTCCGCTCGTTACAGGAACATCCGCGGCTGCGGTCGCTCGCCAGTTCTCTCAACGGCAGGGATCGCACGAGGTGCATCTACGGTTCCCCTCGCCGCTTCTCCCGCTCGCAGCCTTTGTCGTCGAGCGCAATCCCGAGAGTGCCGACGACGGGGATTTTAGCGAGGATGCCTATAACGAGGATGACGACGATGACGAGGATGGCGGTGGGCTCGAATCGGGATTCTCTCGCGTGTCGCTGTATCTGCTGTCCGCAGATGGCGTGATCTACTCCGTAGACCTAGGGTTTGGCGGGCTTGACAGCCATAGTAGCGCATTGAACGATGCCAGTGGCTTAGGGTTTCGCCTAAACGGTGCTTCCAGGTTCGACACCAGGCCTGGCGGCGGTACGGGAACAAAACCCTCCGAATCTTCCCTCCTTGGTAACTTCTCCCTCAGCTGCTTGCGCTCGTTTCAGCTCCCGCCGAACCTCGTCTCTAGGCTCGGTAGCGGTGTGACGTCACTAGCAGCCGGCCAGGACACGGTATGCCTCGGCGGAGGTTCGGGTAGCGTTCTCGCCTTTCCGTTCCACAAACTCGCCAACCCTGTTGTGGCTGTAACGGGTGGCGCTATAAAGAGGGAAGCGTCTGGCGGAGCGGGGGTGGCGGAGTTGCGGGAGGGCGAGGGCGCAATGGCGCGCCTGTGGGGGATGGTAGGCGCAGGCAGGGGCGCGGCTCTCGCCCCTGTGCGGTCCATTCAGCTGCTGACGCATGGCGGGCAGGGATTGGCTGCGGTTGCGCACGCAGATGGCGTGGTGAGGGTGTGGGATGTTTCGAGGAAGGTTCGCGTGGCGACGGTGACGGTGGCGGCGGAGTGGGGGCCGGGCGGAGCTGCGGCTGCTGCGGGCGCGGGTCAGGCAGGGGGGAGCCGTGACGGTGAGTTGCGTTCGAGCTTAGCGCTTTGAACCTCCCTTGCTTGCGCCACGTGCTTGCTCGTATCTTACGCTCTCCACTTCCACTCTCTCGTTCTCGCCTTTCGCCCTCCACTGTACCACCCCTAACCTGCTTATCCCCTCACGACTCCCTCTCCCCCACCACCTCACCCCCCCTCCCCCCCTTTCTCCCCCTTCCGAACTCTCCCCCCACTCTTCTCCCCCTCTCCCTCTCCCCTCACCCTCCCCCTCTCCCCTCACTCTCCCTCTCTCCCCTTTCCTCTCTCCTCTCCCCCTCCCCCTCCCCCTCCCCCTCACACTCCCTCTCCCCCTCCCCCTCCAGGCGCATGGGCCGTCCAGCAGATCCTTCTGCGCCCCGCGCCTGGCCCCACTCGCTCCGCGACCACCACCACGAGCGCAGCTGCCGCCACCCAGTCTCTAGTGGTCATTACCACTTGGTGCCCCCAGCAGCAGCAGCAGGGCAGGCAAGAGAGCAGGCAGCAGCACGCGGAGATGTCCCCCTCCCCTGCTGGTCTCATCACCGTTCACTCCCTCCGTCTCCGCGTTCCCCCTGACCCCGCGCGCGCCTCCGCCTCCGCCTCCGCGTCCGCCTCGCTCCGCCTGGCCGCCTGGAGCGCGCTGCCCCGCGCGCCCACGGCGCGCAGCTGTGACTATGGCGCGTGGGACGGTGACAGCAGAGGGGAAGGGGACGAGAGGGGTGGGGGTGAGAGGGGGGCGGGGGCGGGCGGGGCACGGCCAGCAGCTGGCACCCAGGGGGAGGATGAGCACGAGCAGCAGGCGGGGGAGCGAGCGGGGGATGAGGGGGAAGGGGAGGGTCAGGGGTTGTGGATCAGAGACGTCCGCGTGCTGCTCGCTGCCGGTGCTGGTGGTGGGGGGCGGAGGGGCAGAGGGGGCGGAGAAGGGGCGGGCGGTGGGAAAGAGGTGGACGTGTGGATGCTGCTGCAGGAAGGGCGTGAAGGCACAGGCACAGGAACAGTCACATCAGGCGCATCAGCGAAGCGCCATACTGTCTGTCTACCTGTGCGCTGTGTGCCCTTCGACAGCAATGCCACTGCCACTGCCGCTGCCACTGCTGCACGGGACGCAACAGCAGCGGTGGCATCTTCTCAGCAGCTTCTGCCCCTTCCTCCGTCCCCACTGTACGCACCAATCAGCGCCTGCCAGCTGGCGGAGCAGCAGCTATCAGCGTCACTGGGCCTCTCAGACCCGACCCTCCACCAGTTCGTCTCCCCTCCGCCTGTACCCGCCTCGTCAGCCAGCGGGCCAGCAGGAGCAACCGCTTCTGCACCTGCTACAGCCGCAACAGCCGTGACAGCCAGTGCGTTTGCTGATATGGGCAGCAGGGCGAACCTGGTGTCGGCCTTGGGCGTCGTTCCCTTCCTTGAGCTCTCCCCTGTCCTCTGTGCCGCACCCAGCAGTTCCCCTGCAGGGGAAGGAGACGGCGGCTCACTGACAGCAGGAGGACCAGGAGGAGGAGCAGGAGCAGGAGCAGGAGCAGGAGGGACAGGAGGGGCAGGTGGTGCAGTGAGTTGGAGCGCTGTAACTGAGTTTTGTGCTGACGCTCTCGTTGCTCGTCTGCTCTGCCCGTCTGCTCTGCTCGAGCCTGCGTTAGCCCATCTGCTCGCTTGGTTACAGCACCACCACCGCCATTACCACCACCCGCACCAGCAACAGGAACAGCAGTTTTTCCCATACGAGGGACAAAGGAATGGGACGTTCGGATCATCCAACCCTGCAGAAGTGGCTCGGATGAGTCACGATGTGGTTCGGCAGACTCTCCTCTCCTACCTCTTGGACCGCCGGCCGGACCTGCAGGTGCTGCCGAGCCTCCTGGGCAGCTCCGGGGGCGAGCCGGCCGATCTGGTTCGGCTGGTGGATCGGTGGGAGCACTTGGCAAAGCAATACCTTCGAGCCTGGACTGCCGTAAACACACCCGTAGGGCTGATTGCAACCGCCGGTTCAGGTCCAGGCTCGGGGGCAGGTTCGGGCGCTGGGGCTATTGGTCTGGTTCGGGGATGCACAGTGTCTCTGGTGCAAGCACCGGACGTATCAATGCAGATAAACCTGTGGAGCACTGCCGTACCTGCAGCAGTGAGCGCACCAGGGTTTGCAGCTGCAGTGTCTGCAGCAACACCCACAGGAACGCCCACAGGAATGCCCGGAATGCCCACGGGAATGCCTATTGCAGGGTCTGCAGGTGCAGGTGCAGCATGTGGGGAGCGAGGCAGCTTGGGAGGCAATCCGCCTCTCCTTTCACCCAGCGTGGTTCGTTCCCTGGCCTCCGTAAGACCAGGTTCAGCCGGGCCAGGTTCGGGCAGGCTGAACGCGGGCAGCCAAGGAACCCGGCAGCCAATGGAGGAGCGCCAGCTGGCGGCGGTGTTGGGAGAGCTTGCCAGCTGTCTGGAGCTGATTCGCGGGCGAGTGGGTAGGCTGGTCATGCTGGCGCTGCCCGCGTGTCTCCTCTCGCCCTCCCTGCAGCCTGCTGATGCCTTTGCACACGTGGCAAAGTTTTTGGAGTTCGGGCAGCTGGCGCCGGGCAGCTCGGGCAGCGTGAACAGGTTGCGGTCGGCTGCCCGGGAATTTGTTTCCCAGCAGAACACGGAGCAGAGGGTGTTTGCAGTGAAGCTTCAAGCTGCCCTCGGGAATTTGAGAGACGCAGCAGGAGGGAAGTGGGGGGGTGTTCTTGAGATAGTGGAGCTGCTTGTAACGAGTATGGATCTGGGTACGCTTTCAGAAGGTGCATCCGCCTCCTGTGGGTCCCAAGGTGCAGCATCAACAGCAGCAGCAGCAGCAGAAGGGCATAATGGGAGTGGGGAGATTGATGATCTACCAATCAGCACCCTCCTCCCCCCCTCCCTCTTCTCTCCCCTAGAGCTTTCCCACGGTCTCACCCTCTTGCTAGGCTCCCACCTCCACCTCCTCCTCTCCCTCCTCCCCCTCCTCCACTTCCTCCACCTCTCCCGCTCCCCATTCCTCCTCTCCCCCTCAGACCGCTCCTTTCTCTCGCGCCGCCTGCTGCCCCGCACTCACTCCCTCCTCTCCTCCACCCTCCTCCTCCACACTCTCTCTGACTCCTTCGCTGCTCGAAGCCCAGAGGATGATTTCTCTGTGGATCTCCTCTCGCTGCATATTGGCGGGAAAGGCGTTGCTGACGTGGACGGCGTTGCCGACGTGGCTGTGGGGGACACTCGGGGGTCTGGGAGGTGGGTGCGGCAGGGTGGGGGAGGGGGAGGCGGTTTAGGGTTTGGCAGCGGGAGGAGAGGAGGGATGGGGAAATGGGGAACAGGGGCAGGGGCAGGGGCGGAAGGGGACTTTCTTGGAAGGTTCTGCAGGCGAGAGGTGCAGTTTCGGTGGGCTAGGCGGACAGTAGTCGCTGTTTTATTGGACGGGGAGGGGGAGGAGGAGAGGGAAGGGGGAGGAGAAGGAGGCGCAGGAGGGGGTAGGGGCGGAGGCAGTGTGTTGGGGGGAAGGTGGCGGGGGTGGTGGCTGCACGGGAGCGCATCAGAAGAAGACAAGTCCTTTCCAGCTAATGGGGACTCTGATGGGCCCGAAAGCGAGGGAGAAGGGGAGGAGAGTAGCGATGAGGAGATGGAGGGAGGGGAGGACGGGGGTGGACTGGAAGGCAGGGGAGGAAGCGGGGGAGCGGTGGGGGGGTGGCGGTGTGCGAGTGTGAGTGGGGAGGGGCTGCTGTGTGAAGTGATGAGTGAAGCCGTGCGCCTGCGGTGGGGGCGCGACCCCTGGCAGACTGAAGGGCGCGTAGGAGGGGGAGACGTTGGGGGAGGGCAGGGCGGGGCGGGGGCAATGGGGATGGGAGCGCCGAGCTTCCTCCATCGTGCCGTGCACATGGGGCTGCGGCTGTTGGAGCAGAGCCAGTACCACATGGTGAAGGTGAGCGCCCGAGGGGGTTAAGTCAAGTACACTGGTGCTGGAACACACATGCTGTGCTGTTCCTTGTGTAGACCGACCGCCCGCATGGGGCTGAGGTTGCTGCCGCACAGGCATCACCACATTGTGAAGGTGGGCGCGCAGGAGGGTCAAGCTCAAGAAGAGCGCCCAGGGTTCAGGTCTGCTGGGGTTTAGGGTTTAGGGTACCCGGGGTTTCAAGCTACAGGGTCAAGGGGTGCAGGATGCTGTGGTGGTTGGTCTCCTGAATCCACACTCTGGTGAATGCATTACATGTGCCTGTCTACTGCCGTCTTTTGGCCCCCTCTGTTTGTCTCCTGGCCATCCTTTCCCCCTCCTGCCACCTCCTTCCCTGATCCCCCTGCCGCTCTGGTCCTCTTGGACTGTGTCGATTGCCAGGCACATTAAATCCGCGAGGCACATTAAATCCGCGAGGCACATTAAATCCTCGAGGCACATTAAATCCGCGAGGCACATTAATTCCGCGAGGCACATTAAATCCACGAGGCACATTAAATCCGCGAGGCACATTAAATCCGCGAGGCACATTAAATCCGCGAGGCACATTAAATCCGCGAGGCACATTAAATCCGCGAGGCACATTAAATCCGCGAGGCACATTAAATCCGCGAGGAACATTAAATCCGCGAGGCACATTAAATCCGCGAGGCACATTAAATCCGCGAGGCACATTAAATCCGCGAGGCACATTAAATCCGCGAGGCACATTAATTCCACGAGGCACATTAAATCCGCGAGGTACATTAAATCCGCGAGGCACATTAAATCCGCGGGACATTAAATCCATGTGAATTGACGAGTTTTCAGGCGCCCCAAATATCTCCCTCCCCTCCCTCCTCCACCTCCCCACCCCTCCCCTTCCCCCATCCGCTCAGCTCCTCTTGGACTGTGTCGATCGCGACGCACACTTCTCCAACAACCCCTTAGCCCTTCCCCGAACCAACGCTTCTGGTTCGGCCGAACCTGAAGCTTCGGCAGCACGCTACTTCCTTCTCGGCTTTGCCCTGGTTGCCTGCGCACACGTCCCTGCTGACCTCCCCACTTGGTTTCAACTAAGCGCCGCCATAGGCGGCAGCATTAGCCAGCTAAGTGCTGGTGGGAGCAGCAAGGGGCAGGGTGTGTTCTTAGCAGCAGGGGAGGGCAGAGGGCGTGAGGCAGCTGCAAGGGAGGCCATGCGGGCAGCACTGGTGGATCGGGCAGTGAAATGTTTCTTCCGGGCAGCGGAAGGAGTGGGATCATGGGCAGCAGGAGCTGGTAACGGTGAGGGAGGGGAAGGGGGGGCAGGCATGGGAGCAGGTGGGAACCCACTGCAAGGCCTACTGGAGATGTTCAGTGGCAGCGCAAACAACAGTGTGGGGAGCAACACTGGTACAGTAGGAGCAGCAGCCGTACAACCCGTAGCAGGTGTTGCAGCAGAAGCAGCGGCAGCAGCAGCAGGGGCAGCAGGGGAGGCTCGGCAGAGGGTGCGGTACTACGAGGCGGTGATGCGGCTGCTGCAGCGCTACAGCGAGGGGCCCTCCGCCGCCCGCTTCGCCCTCGCCGCCATCCACGAGACCGACGCCGCCTTCCCGGAAGCTTCCCACGGCGAACGCGACGAGGAGCGGCACTCGCAAGCAGCGGCAGTGGCAGCAGAGGAAGCGGGAGCAGAGGGAGCGGGAGCGGGGGCAGGTGGGGAGGTGGTGAGGGGGGTGAAGGGGCGGCTGTGGGCGAATGTGTTTGAGTATGCGGTGCAGGGCGGGCAGTATGATGAGGCGTTCTGTGCTCTCGCCTCCAACCCCGACCCGCTCACCCGCAGCATCTGCCTTCGCCAGTTTGTTGCCGTGCTCTGTGACACCGCCAGCTCTGCTGTAGCTGCCGCCGCTACAGCCGCCGCTACAGCCGCCGGTAGAACCGCCGCAGTGCAATCAGGACCATCGGCAGCATCGGGTGCAGCGGAAGCAGCAGCAGCGGCAGAGGCAGAGAGGGCAGGGAGGGCGTTGTCAACTCTCTGTGGCCTCGATCTGCCTTATGCTGCTGCTGACCTGCACGTACAGGTGGAGCAGGAGCTGATGTGGCTCGCTGAGAACTCTGACGTGGCGCTGTCGCTGCCGCTGTCCACGTCGGTGTCGTCGGCGGCTGCCACGTCAGCGTCGGCGTTGGGCAGGGTGAGCCCGTACAAGCTGCTGTACTCGTTCCACGTGGCGCGATCTGATTGGAGGAAAGCTGCGCTGGCCATGTACCGATATTCGTGGCGACTAGGCAGGGAAGTCTTGGGCTCAAGCAGTGGCAGTACAAGCAACAACCGCACTGCACCCATTCCCACTCCTGCTTCTGCAGATAGAAGGGGGAAGCAGGGCATGAGTCCTGGATTCCACCAGCCTAGTCCTGGGAGGGTGTTCAGTCCGGTGGTGAAGGGAAGTCCGGGGATGACGCTGGGTGCAGAGAGAATCCCCGAGGTGAAGCTGAGTGCAGTGCGGTTGAGAGAGATGAGCCTGGCTGTGGCTATCCAGGTGCTGGAGCTGATGGTGGTGGGGGGAGAGGGGCTGGGAGCTGGAGGAGAGGGGCTGAGGGGAGGGGGAAAGGGGAAGGGTGTGGGAAGGGGGAGTGAGAGCGTGGGTGTGGAGGAGGGAAGTGGCGGGGTGGGAGGTGAGGGGGGATGGGGAGAGGAGGAGGAGAGGGAGAGGCAGGAAGCATGGCTGCCACCAATGGTCTCAGTTTTCCCTCACAGGGGCGCTGCTGCTGATGCTGCTGCTGATGCTGATGCTTTTGGTGATGCTGATGCTGGTGGTTATGGTGCTGGTGGTGTTGGTGTTGGTGGTGGTGGGAGGGACGGGTTGAGGGAGGATGGGAGGATGGGTGAGAATGGGCGGAAGCGAGGCGAGGGAGGGTTCTGGAGAGAGGCGAGTCCAGCTAAAAGAGGGAGGTGGGGAGGAGGGACAGGTGGCGGCGCGTCATTGGGCTGCGGCACGGAGCCGGTGGGGCTGGAGGATCTGCGGAGGGAGCATGCGCTGGTGGCCGCCCAATCACTGCTCGCCACATGTCCTGGGACCACGGCAGCGCTGCTGGGTAAGAGAGCATTCTTAAACCGAGTGGGCTAAAGTGGGTAGAATAGGGTATAAGTGGGTAATAGTGGATATAAGTGGGTAAGAGTATGTGAGAGTGGGTGAGATTGAGTAAGAGTGGGTAAGAGTGGGTAAGTAGAGTGGACGACGGGAGTGCTCCATATGCGCAGTCTTGTTGTGCAACAAGTACACCAATGTTAGGTCCCACAGGTCCTCTCTCTTCCCCTATGAGTGAGGACCCGTGGGACCTCACCTCACATCCATATGCGCAGTCTTGTTGTGCAACACGTACACAAATGGTAAGTACAGGGAGTAGCCTTTCAAAGACGTGGAATGACTTTTGAGTTGACTCAAAGTCATCACTTAGGGTGTACCGTACCATGTACGAGGGCATTTAGGGTAAGCACAGTGAGGTGGATTTGAGAGCATGCGGATTTGGATGTATTTCAATGCGCCTCAAAATACACCTCACTGCTCGAGTGCATTTAGGGTGAGTATAGTGAGGTGGTTGATGCGCATGTGGAGTGATTTGATGCAGCTCTTTCTCCCATGCCTGCCGGCATTTCTCCCAGCCTTGAGAGTGTGCCGCTTCAGGTTGAGGAAAGTTATCCGCTTTTCTAGTTGTGCTGGAATTGAGTGGCGGCTCCCCGGAAAGAAAAGAAAAAAGGTCAAATGATTGACGTTCAGCGTCCATCCCATCCCCCCTACCAGCGTCAGACGCCTCACCACAGCAAGTCATATTTGTTCGATTGAGTCTAGCAGCCATGGCTAGGAAGAGTAGATGTAGTTCTCAGCAAGAAGTGTCGAGATACGTTTGAGGAAGAAGGTCGACAACCTAAATGAACGTAGGGTGCGTTTGGTCAAGGAACAAGCCTCAAAATGAATCTAAACTGAACCTGAACTGAAACAAAGTATAATATAAGGCCAGAACAGATACAGAGCTAAGACTAGCCTACTCACAATTGTGGTCTGCGCTCACAACGCCCTCTGTATAATCTGCCAATCTTCCCTCTGCCCCCCTCTCCCTCGCCCTCCCCCATATCAGCGTCAGACGCCCCACCGCAGCACATCATTTAGACTGCAGTCTCAAATCCCTCTTCCCACACGTGCTTTGTATAATATGCCACCCCTTTCCCTTTGTCCCCGCTTCCCCTCCCCCTATCAGCGTCAGACGCCCCACCACAGCACATCATATCAGCCTGCGCCCACAATGCCCTCTTCCCCCAAGCTCTCCACCTCGCCACTCTCTTCTTCTCGGGCAGCCAGCGGGCAGCTGAACTTTCCGCAATTCTTTCAGCAGCTGCCCGACGCTGCTGCATGACCCAGCTCGGGCTGTCTCTTGCAGCTGCCCGGGATCCTGCAGCTTCTGCTGCCACGTCAGCTGCTTCCAGTGCCACTGCTGGTGACGTGGCAAGCTCCCCGGTGCTGATGTGGCAGCAGATGCAGGTTTGGACTGAGACATACGTTCGGCACCATCCGAACCTCCGTGAGGTTGTAGCCCGAGCCATATTAGGCACCAACCCTGCTCTCCCCTTACCTCCATGGCTCATCCGTCTCTTCCTGGAAGGTTCCTCCTCCCTCTCCCCAATTCCCCCCTCCTCCTCAACTCCCCTTCCCTTCGCCTCCGCCCCCTCCTCTCTCTCATCGCCCTCCTTCCTCGCACCGCTCTCCACCCCTTTCAACCCATCTATCGCCCCTCCCATCGTTCCGGACCCCTCATCACTCCTGCGAGTCTACCTGGACTTCAATCATCTCATCCAAGCGTCCCGATTGGCTCTCTCCATGCTCCGCGCGTGGAGAGCCGTCCGATCGGCCGATCCGCGCACGGCGAAGCAACGGATGGGCGCCACGTGGCAGCCACACGCCCTGCTGGACCGGCTGAGGCTACAGCTGGCAGCCGCTGCTGCTGCTGCTGTGGGCGAGCTCGGGGGGGAGCAAGGGAGGGGGGCGAGTGGCAGAGGATGTGGGGGTGGTAGAGAAGGGGTGAGTGTGAGTGTGAGTGGGAGTGAGTATGAGGTTGTGTGTGCGATGCGGGAGGAGGTGGAGGCGGCAGTGAGGGCGTATCTGGGGCAGGTAGATCTGGATGGGGAGGACTTCAGGCAGGTGGCAACTGGAGGGGCAGGGTGCGCTGGTAAGGGGTCAAGGGCAGTGGGGTTGGGAGCAGAGGGAGAAGGGGGAGCAGTAGCCGGGGCAGCAGGGGCAGCAGGGGCAGCAGGGGCAGCGGGGGCAGCGGGGGCAGCAGGAGCAGCAGGGGCAGGAGGCAGAGTGCAAACAGCAGCATTCGGAGCAACGCCAACTATGGGGTCAGCTCCTTTTGGGTCAGCACCAGCATTTGGCTCAGCAGCAGCTTTTGGAGCTAAATTAGCACAAGCAGGAGCAGCTTCAGGCACACAGGCAGGGGGAGGAGGAGGAGTAGCAGAAGGTGCAGGCACGGGAGCAGCAGCGGGGAGTGTGTTTGGGAGGCTGGGAGCGGGGTTTGGATCGCCTCATGCTTCCCCACCTCCTGCTGCCCCCTCGGCTGCTTCACCTTATGCTGCCCCTGCTGCTGCCCCGTCTGCTGCCCCTCTATTTGGTGGGGCAGCCAATACTTTTGGTGGGGCAGGCAGTACTTTTGGTGGGGCAGGCAATACTTTTGGTGGGGCAGGCAATACTTTTGGTGGGACAGGCAACTCTTTTGGTGTAAGAGATGCTGGTGAGAAAAACACAGGAGCAATCGATGGTGGGGGGAAGGCTGCTGGTGCTGCTGGTGGTGCTGCTGCGGCTGTGGGGCTTGGGTCGAGTGGAGGAGGTCTTGGGTTAAGAAGTGGGGGGTTTGGGGGAGGGGCAGGAAAAACTGAGGGGGCAAGTGGGGGAGGGGGACAAGGAACAGGGTTTGGTGGGTTTGGAGTGACCACAGGAGGAGATTTTACAGCAGGAGGATTTGGGGCAGGCAGCGCCGGTTTTGGGGCAGGCACCAGTGGGATTGGGGTCGGTACTGGTGGTTTTGGGGCAGGTGGTGGTGGTTTCGGGGCAGGTGGTGGTGGTTTCGGGGCAGGTGGTGGTGGTTTCGGGGCAGGTGGTGGTGGTTTCGGGGCAGGTATCGGTAGTAGTGGGTTTGGGGCAGGTGGTGGTGGTTTTGGTGCGGGTAGTAGTGGGTTTGGGGCAGGTGGTGGTGGTTTTGGTGCGGGTAGTAGTGGGTTTGGGGCAGGTGGTGGTGGGTTTGGGGCAGGTGGTGGTGGGTTTGGGGCAGGTGGTGGTGGCTTTGGGGGAGGCTCTGTGGGGTTGGGCACAGCTGCTGGCGGCAGTTCAAGTGGGTTTGCTGGTGCGTTTGGAAGCACAGTGCACAAGTGAGCTTAAGTTTAGGCTGTAGTCTAGGGCTATGTGTGGTGTGGTCCTTTCCTTTTCACATGTAGGATTCAGGCCTCTGGATAGGATTTGGGGTAACACCCAGCCTTAACTCTTTCAGTAAGGGTGCTTCACAAAAAATGCTCTTAAAAATCAGGGTGCAAACAAATCTAATCATTCATCTACTATTTTTACTCTCCATAGTATGAAGGATGTTGATGTGGCAGTTGTTGAGTTGCGCAGTTATGAGGAGGACCCAAGTTCTATACCCAGCGCGGGCGTCAGATGCGAAAGATATGTTTTACGCAACCAATCCTGGTATCCTCTCTTAGATCGAACTCGATTTCATCAGTGCTACTACACCACATAGCTCTGAAATATCAGTGTCGTATAATCGATCACTTTTTTTTGTAACGGTCTAAAACAAAACCAGTCTTGTAAAAAAAAGTGCTTAGTCAAACCCGCCCTTTTAGTAAGGGTCATAAGGGTGAATCACCCTGATATCGAGAGGCCTTGTTATGAGTTGTAAAAGAGAGTGCGCGGAATAACGAATAACGAAGATGTGACTCAATGAACTGACAATACAATGAAGGCACGCGCTAATATAGTGGGCCAACCTAGCTAGGCGGGAACCTCGGGAACACGAGGTTGGGTGCAGGTTGGGCAAAGGAAAGGCCGAAGGCGACGCGAGGTTGCTTCGGCAGCAAGCGAAGTGGCCGAACGTGCACTTCCGAAAGTTGGGGTTGTACGCGGTTGAGTAAACCCCTGTAAGGAAAAGGGTTTTTCTTTACACTACCCCCCCCTTTAAGAAAGGTGGTCAATATCCGCAGCTCGCCTGCGGGCGAGGTAATCACCAAGAAGCGGAAGAGCTTCAAGCGAGGCGGATGGCACCCAAGTGTCGTCCTCACTGGTGCGGTCAGTCCAGCGGATTAAAAAATCCACGTGGCGTCCAGAAGCGTCGAGCCGAACACGATGCGCCAAAATCTTGGACGGGTCAAGCGTCGGTTCTGGGACAGGTCGGGCTGTCGGGGCGGCGTTCTGGCGCGCGATGTCCGTCGTGGCAGGCACGAACTTGCGAAGGAGGCTGACATGGAAGGCATCATGTATACGCCAATCGTCGGGTAGCAGCAGCTTCGCGGTGACAGGTGTCACCATCTTGATGATCTTGAAAGGCCCACAAAATCGTGGCCGTAGTTTCGATGGGCCGGGCAGGTGCAGGTTCTTCGTGTCAAGTAGCACTAGTTGCCCAGCTGCCAAGACGAGTTCCCGTCGTAGAAGGTCGGTGTATTTACGGGAAGTTGTATTCGCCTTGCGAATTGCGTCCGCAGCCTTTTCGCGAACTTCCTGAAGTTCCGTCACAAATGTTTGTGACCTCGGGACCGGGTTGTCGAGTGTAGTCGTTGTAGGCACCGTCGGGTCCATCCCGTGATTTAAGAAGAACGGGGAGTGATTAGTTGTGCTGGACGGGGCGTTGTTGAACGCAAACTCCAGCATGGCGAGCGAGTTTTCCCAGCGAGTGGGGTCCGAGCAGTTTGTCCTGATCAGCTGCTCCATAGTCTGATTGGTGCGCTCGGTCTGGCCGTCCGTTTGCGGGTGGTATGCCGATGAGAACTGTAGCTTCGTGCCGTACTGCGCCCACGTCTCCTTCCAGAATTTCGATGTGAACTTGGGGTCCCTGTCGCTGATGATCGCCGCGGGGATTCCGTGCAGTCGCACGACTGTTGAGATGAAGAGGCGCGCAGTTTCTTCGGCTGTGATTGTCGTACGACACGGTGCGAAGTGCGCCATCTTCGTGAGGCGATCGACGACGACGAGAACCGCGTCGTTGCCGAACGGCCCAGCTGGCAGCCCCGTGACGAAGTCCATCGTCACCTGTTGCCACGGTCGTTCGGGTGGCTCGAGGGGTTGCAGCAGTCCAGCTGGCCGCTGACGTGTCGATTTCATGGCTTGGCACACCCTGCATGAGGACACATATCGTTGCACGTCGTTAGCAGAATCAGGCCAATAATATTGATGGTGCAACAGCTTCTGGGTTTTATCAACCCCGAAATGTCCGGAAAGGTTAGAATCATGGACCTCCTGAATGAGGAGTTCACGCAGCAGTCGGTAAGCGGGAACCCAAATCTGGTCAGTTCCGGCCTTTAGGTAATAGTTCCCCTTCTGCGTCGTCGCCTGCCGGTGATTCCCAGTCGTGAAGAACGGGTCCGTAGTGTAGCCGTGGGTGAATAGTCCCGTAAGTAGCGGGTTCGAATGGGTGATGAGCACTGCAGCGGATTAAACTGTCGGTCGAGTAAGGGCATCGGCGATGTTATTCGCCCCTTTCTTGTACGTGATGCGGTAGGTGAAATGACTCTCCATGTAGTCCAGCCACCGAATTTGTCGCGGGTTGAGGTTGGGCTGAGCTCGCAGGTACTGTAGGGACTTGTGGTCCGTGCGAACAGTGACGTCGGCGCCTACCAAGTAGCAACGCCACAGTTTGAACGCGTGTATTATGGCGAACATCTCCTTGTCGTGAATCGGGTAGTTGCGCTCAGCTGCCTGCAGTTTGCGTGACTCGTAGGCGATCGGCTGCAACCCGTTCCCGAAATCCTGGAGGAGTACAGCTCCGATGGCGAAATCTGAGGCGTCGGTGACGACTTCGAACGGCTTCGATGGGTCGGCAATGCGCAAAACCGGAGGGGAAACGAGAAAATTCTTCAACTCCTGAAAAGCCGCCTCAGCTTCCTCCCCCCACACGAAATTCCTGTCCTTGTGCAGCAGGTCGGTCAGCGGGCCGGTTATCCCCGCCATATTCGGGATAAACCGCCTGACGTAATTCACGAAGCCCAGAAAACTCTGAAGTTCCGTGATGTTAGTCGGGGACTTCCACTCCTGAATATTCTTGATTTTAGCCGGGTCGATTTTGATGCCGTCGCGTGAGATGATGTGCCCCAAAAACTCCAACTCTTGCTTAATCGCACTTAGAGCCCTTGGTGATGAGGCGGTTCTCCTGCAACCGCTTAAACACTGCGTCGAGGTCGTGGAGGTGTTGTTCTCTTGTCCTGCTAAAAATCAGAATGTCGTCCAAATAGACGATCACACACTTGTCGAGAAATTCCCGGAAAATCCTGTTCATGGTCAGTTGAAATGTTGAAGGCGCGTTTGTGAGGCCGAACGGCATCACTGTGAATTCGTAGCTTCCGTAGCGGGTGCGAAACGTGGTCTTGTGACAGTCGTCGGCGAAGACCCGAATCTGGTGGTAACCGCCACGCAAGTCGATTTTCGAAAAGTAGCGAGCGCCGCGAAGTTGATCGAGGAGGTCGTCGGTGCGTGGGATTGGGTAGCGAGATTTGATGGTCACCCGGTTGAGCGCGCGATAGTCGATACACATGCGAAGCCCGCCATCCTTTTTCGGCGTAAACAGGATCGGGGCTGCGAAGGGGGATGTACTGGGTCGAATAAACCCCTTCTCCAACAGTCCCTCAATTTGTCGTCGCAGCTCCTCGAGTTCTGGTTGGGTCAACCGCCACTGTGTACGAACAGTCGGCTGCGCGCCAGGCTCCAGCTGGATTTTGTGGTCCTCGGGGCGTTCGGGTGGCAGTCCAGGTGGCAGATCGTCGGGGAAGATGTCCGAGTACTGTCGAATCAGCTCCGCTAAATCAGGTGGTACAGCTGCGCACAGCTTCTCGATGTCCTTTCCGTCGGTGTCGGTTGCCAACTCGCGCAAACATACGGCGAACAGCTGCGCGCCTCGGTTGAAGTGGCGAGCAATAGTGATAGCTTTGACGCACGGGGCTTGGATGTAGTCAGGTGTCCATGCAGGCAATTTAATGACCCCCTCGTGCTTGCTGATGCTGCACGATCCCGTTGTCCAGTCGATGACGGGGTTGTGCCGTCGCAGCCAATCACGTCCCAGCAGCACGTCGCAGCCGTCCAACGTTGTCGCGAGAAACTTCATGCTGAAGCCGAAATCGTCGCCGCATTCGATCTGCACAGTCCGTGTTTCTTCCAAAATCGCCAGAGGCGTCCCATCCACGAGGCGAGCGTCGATTTCGGGCAGACACCTGTCAAGTTGCAGCTTGCATTTTTTTGCTGTCGCCAAGTTGAAGAGGCTATGGCTGGCCCCTCCGTCGACGAACATTTTCAAGTAAATTTTTAACACTTTGCCAACGACCAGCACAGGGTGATCCACATGGTTATCCCCGTTATTCGGCCGAGTGCGATCGATTGCATGAATCGGAACCACGACTCGGTGAGGATGATGGTGTTCGGGCGACAGAGCACAGTCAGTAAGGGGCCCGTCTGTTACTGACTCTTCCCATTTCCCGGCTCTTTCCCGTCGTTCCTCTTCGCCGGCGTTTTCTCGGGGCAGTCTGCATATTTGTGACCCGGCTTCCCGCACTTATAACACAACCCTGTGTAGGGGCGGTCTGGTGCATGGACTCCGTTGATCGTGGCCCGTTGGGTCTGGCCGCGAAAACGATTTCCCTCCCGGAAACTCGACCTCGCATACTGCATCAGCGCGTCCGTGGATTCTGCCAACCGTGCTGCTTCCAGGAACGATGTCGGGCGGCATCGGCGCACCTCATACTGTATCTCGTATTTAAGGCCGCTGACGTACTTGTCTAACCGCTCCGCTTCCGACATGTCGTCCACTTGGTCGGTGAGGGCCATGAACGTTGCTGTGTAGTCTTGGACAGATGCCAACTGCGACCAAGTACGCAGCTTCATGCGAGCTTGTTCCGAGCCGGTTATGTGCTCGAATCGATCTCGTAAGGCTGCGCCCCACTCCTTCCACGTGCGTATCTTGGTCACGCCGAATATCGGTGCTGCCACTTGATTAACCGTCGTTGAAGTCCTGTCTGCCGCATGTGTCACACCTGTCGGGGTCCCCGTGTCCAAGGTTCGGCGCCACCACTCAAGCGCTGCGCCTCGAAGGAGAGAAACCGCGTAATTAATACGCTTGGCATCGTCGTTCACGCCTGCTGCAGTGAAGAAGACTTCAACGCCGAAAAGCCACCCCTTCA